AGTCCAGAAGGCTCAGACTACCCAATGAGTCCAAGCAATTCACGGGACTTGAGTCCAAAGCGCCCACACAGCCCTGAGGGTCCAGCCAGCCCAGATGACCCTGCCAGCCCAGACCCCCAGGAGAGCTCTCGTGAGGGAGGCCCCCGAACCCCCCAGAGTCCAGGCAGCCCGCAGGGCCCCAGAAGTCCCGGTGACCAGTCCAGCCTGGAGAGCCCTGACAGCCCAGATAACTTTGCCAGTTCGCCCGTCCCATCCAACCCCAAGTCGCCTCCTGAGGCGGGCGAGGATGATGATGACGATGAGGAAGGCCAGGCAGACAGACTTTCAGAAATCTCGGAAGGAGATTCTGCGGTAAGGCTCAGTGTCAGTATGAAAGGGAAAATTTTTGCTTTTTGTGGGAAGGGTTTCACAGCATCTAGTTGCTCCATATCAAAATGAATCTCTTGTTCTTCCCAAATACTACTTCAGTCTTAATCAGTGTGTTACAGGTATGCTCATGTTTTCTTTTGTGAGATTTTCCTTCCTTTCCTACAGCTGAATGGAGAAGAGGAGGATGGCAGTGATGTTGAAAGTGCCCCAGCAAGAGATGATAGGCACAGTGAGGGACAGAACCTCAACAACAGCGAGAGGGACCTGGATGAAGGCGGAAGAGCCTCCAAGCGACGCAGTGATGAGGGTCTCGGTCTCAAGGACGAGTTGGATTTTGAGGCCGAGAGGGAGAGTGGAGAAGAGGACGGGGAGGAGGGAGAAGAAGGTATGTACACGTTTCATACTGTGCTATATTGGTTCTTATGTTTTCATCTTTTTCATGTATTTTCCTCACAGAAAGGGCAATGAGATAACTTAGGTTGATGTGAAGAAGAAAAATCCCAGACTCCCACCATTTTCTCTAATCTTTCCTTGTGTTGGTGTCCCAATGCAGGAGAAGATGGAGAGAAAAGGAAGAAAAAATGCGACCCTGAAAACCGTGAAGAAGGAGAGCTGTCAGATGAAGATGAAGACGATTCTCTCTTGCGGCAAGAACCCAAGACTGTCTGCAGGTTGGGCAGTTTCAGTGCACTAACAAAGGATTTTCAGAATTTTAGTTATTTGACAATTTTATTTTAGTGCTGAAAAGATTGTTGCTTTATATGAGTACAATAGAAAAGATTATTATGTTGCTTTATATATGACTGCAATAGCCTTTTCAGCTTGTGTGTGTGTGAAAGTGAAGTATATTTTTTCTTAACCCTATCATTCCGAGGCCAGAATTTTCTGTGACGTAATTTTTACTCAACAGTTTAGTCTTTCTGGCAGGGTGTGCTCTGTTTATAGCCAGTCTATCCAAGAGGGAGTCATGATGCAAATAAACTTAATAAATGATTATGTCATCACAGCCATAGCTGTACCCATCACCAAGGGGTTAAATGCCAGCATGTAATATTTGTTGTAGAAAAACTTGAAAAATCAAGCCTTATTTGCAGCTTTGTTATCAGGCAAGCTCAAGGGCTTACAAATTTTAGAGTGTAAGAAGACTAAAGAGAGGAATAAGTATTTCCTATTCTTATATTGATTTTTTGTTTTCATCCATTTGTTCCTATCTAGCTCCTTCCTACATCCATGGTCTTTGACAGCCTTGTCTCCCTTGACCAGGTTCTTCAACAAGGGCCAGTGCACATGGGGCACTAACTGCCGCTTCCTCCACCCAGGCGTATCAGACAAGGGCAACTATAACATGTTTGCACCAGCCAAGCCACAGAACTCCAACGACAAAGAAGAGGACAGTTCCGAGAGAGAGCGGGTAGGAAATGCACGCGTTTTGAATGTCTGGCTGAACTGTTGATTTAATCAGTGAAAAACATTGTAAAAAAATTGTGCATGAGGATGTTAAATTTTTTAGGGTTTAGTTTTTAGGTTTCTTTTACTGAAATGATCAAACTCATATGGTCCTCTTGCACATCACCATCATTTGATATTTTTAGTATATCTTGATTATTATCAGAATTTTGTATATAAGATAAAAAAAAACAAAATAACTATAGTAATTGTAATCAGTGTGCATTAGGAAAAACATGTAACCATTCATTGTTGAAGATCTATCCTACATCTCTCTTGTGCAGCCTCGAGAAATCAGGAGATTTATTCCTGAGCCTTCGCCATTTGAGTCGGCTTGGGAACGGGGACTGCGCTATGCCAAAGAGGTAAGCCTCTGCATTGATATTTTTAATTATAATGAGTTATTAATTTCACATTTCCTGTTTTTATTGCTTGTTAACCATGGTATAGTAACTTTCTGTAGCCTATTAAGGTCTTCCATCCAAATGGAAGCAAATCCCCCAACCGATAACCCCGATATTATCCATCTGCATGGCCTCTTCCCTAGATGATGAAACGGGCCAATAAGCGCAAGGAGACTGACGCAGACTTTGAGGAGAAGCGCTTCAACCTGAGCTTGGGTCAGGCAGAACTCGATCGGGAGAATGACTACTACACCCGACCTGCATCACCTGTCTACAAGCCAGACGAGGTCATCGACCAATACCTTGACCCCTTTGAGAAGCAGGCCATACGCCACTTTAGAGGAGGTAAAACACGTGATATGTTCTCCAAAGTCTGTTTGAAAAGATCCTGCTGTTATTCTTTTGACTTGTTTTCAATGTAACATTTTCTGGAAAGGCCTCATGGATTTCGTGTGTGCGCATTCCAGGTCACTTTGAGAACTTTGAGGTTCGATACCATGTGGACCCCAGCTACAACAACATGAGGGGCCATGAGAGGTCACGCAGGGAGAAGTATGAACGAGAAGTGTCTGAGAGAGTTCATCGCAGACCCAGAACAGCTTCAGGAGGAGATGAAAGGTGAGTGGAAGCATGCAACTGAGTGAAAGTGTGAATGAATGAAAAACCAATAGCATTATAGTAGAGTTCATGCCAGGATATATAATTGTCCTGAACAACATATCCCAAATTGTCCAAATCATTCTTATAAGTATTCCTGCAAGATTATTAATATTTTTACAAACAGTCATTCAAAACTGTAATTCCAAAGGGAAAATTTCCTCAATCAAATATTCCTCTCACCCCAAGGTATGTCCGAAGTAGAGTGTGGCAGGATGATCGCTACATGGAGGTGATGTCATCAGGAGGGGGCACACGAGGAGAGGCTGAGGCATGGGCTGACCCTTGGGCCAGGCGCAAGACTCCCCCTCGTTCTTCAAGAAAAAAGAAAACCTCACGTACCAGAAGCTATTCGTCAGGCTCATCTTCACATTCCTCATCAAGGTGTGTTTAAGGAGGGAATTCTGAATCAAAAGTAGTTGAGGTGGCCTTATTCTGTTAACTAGTTTTTGTCCTCAATACTATTTTTCCTTCTTCATCTTTAATTTGAAACTTGCGTATGTAGAGTGTTCGAGTATATATTCATCAAAGACATAAATTTGTATATTCAAGGATATAGATATTTTTAAAAGAATATAAACTTCTTATGTCCAAACCGAACTGACAACTCATGAATACCATTTTGTGTCATAGGAGTTCCCGATCCTCATCATACAGTAGTCGCAGAAGCAGCAGAAGTGGAAGCAAAAGCAGTCGCACAAGTCTGCCCAGCAGGAGCAGCAGATCACGTTCCTCTTCACACTCTCCGTCTCCAGGTCGGCGGCGGGGCAACCATAGGCTGGCTCCAGGTGAGGGCAGGAGAGAGGGAGAAAGGGAAGGACGGCTATGTTTGTTAAAATACATGCTAGACTCAGAGGCTAGCACTCAGTGAAAAGATTGGATTATGCTTTATTTCTATTAAACAATGTTTGTAATCTTGTTTGTTTTTTATTTTTTATGTATTGTATTATTTATATTTTTTCATAATATTAATTCTTTCTAATTAGTTTCATATCTATTCCTTTAATTTGAATCCCAGGCTCCAGGGCTAGTGATAAGTCCGGCATGAGACAGCTCCCAGTGGGAGGGAGAGGGGGAGGGAGACCCCCCATGGGGCCCACTGGACCCCACAACAGACCACCTTCTCCCCGAAGAGCAGAACCCAGGGATCCCAGGTCAGTTTCTATTCCCTCGCAACCTCTTTGATCACGTCATGGAAAAACTTGTCTTGAGGGGCGGATGACGAGAACATCCCATCGCTGTAAAATTTGGCTTTGGGCCAGAGTGATGCAAACTCACTGTAGTGAGCATTTTAGCTAAAGGCCGGGGTGACGGCAAAGACTCGTCATGAGTACACAATCCTCTTGGAGGGTGCTTATTCATTTTGCATTTAAAAAGAGGCTTCTGCATTATTTCCATTGATAAACAAGTGAGGAATGTAGTGTCCATGAGTCAGGACTGGAAGAGCACTAGCTCCAGGGAGGATGTATTTCCATGCTTAGAATTTTATGACAAATTTTTTTAAATGGCAAATAACAAACTATTACTTAATGATGTTATTCTTTCATTGATTATGGACTTCCTAGAGAGATTATATGGAGTCACTAAAAGGAAAGTAATCTATTACTATCAGGACAAAGCCAATCAGATGACAGATATGGACATTGGAAAATGGCAAAAGACCTAAAAATGCATATAACATTAAAAGAGAAGATAACATTGCAAATGGGAGCCATAGATTCTCATCACTGCACAAGTGTTTGCAAGCTGTGCCCCCGTCAGAGTAGCCGATCAAGTATTTTGGGCCATGTGATGGCAGTGAATCATCTGGATTCAATGGGTTAATTACCACTCAGATAGACTAGGGCCTCTTTACTCAATTGTCTGCTCTTGGTCAAAGCTGCATTTCTCCTCTCATGAAGTGATCTTTGTATTTCATGCTTTGCCAATATTTCTAGTAGGAATGTTGCTTGTATTATGTTCACATTTGTGTCATTTGGTTGAATATTGCCAGGGTTATCACAGACTTGCACACTTGCACAGCAGATGAGAAGAGGGTGTATGTCAGTAAGAGCAGATTATTTTGGCAAGAAAACTTCCCACAGTTGTCAAAGGGTTGACCCAGGGGAAAAGTCCATCATATTGTTGCAGGACTTTCCAGAATTTGAATTACCCATAGATATGTGCTGGTTCTCAAAGGAAATCCAGAATACCAATCATCTCTCAATTTTTCAGGCCACCCATACCCAGGAGACCCAAAGAAAGGCCTGACGTGGCAGACAGGTGCGTGATATTCCCCTTTTAGATAAAAACCATCATATCTTTGTTGACTGTATTTGATAGCTTTATCTTCTACAGAATACTGCTTCTTTATATCTAAATAATCTTTTTTCCAATCTACTTTCTTTCATATTTTGATTCATAATACAGTTGAGTGTTCTTAAAATTTAGGTTGTGCATGGTTCACGAGACAAGGAGACTGACTAAACATGGATTTGCTTGGAGTGCAAGCTGTTTCTTTTCCTCTTGCTGTTTTTTTTTGTTTTTTTTAATCAAGTTTTGCACATCTCACATGTGTTATTTTTTTAACTCTATCACAAGAATTTGAAGACCTCTGCTTTGAGTTGTCAGATTTTATTAAGAGGCAAAAAGATCATATAGTACCTTGTACATGAAATTTTATATGTCAAATATCTACTATTGTTTTTACTGTGGTTACTTTCATTAAGTCTTGATATCATCAAATAATTAACTAAGACACCAGTTCCCATGATTTCTCTCTTCAAGCTCTCAGGAAGCCTCTTAGTATTACATACATTGGTGTCATATTGTTGTATATTTCCTTTAAAGAATTCCGCAAACAAGTCCCGCATAATAGCTCCCAGAGGAACTTGTTTTCTATAGATTTAACTTGAACCTTGAACCAGAGATCAGGTGGAATATGATTGCTGAGAGAATCGTGTTTTACTTGTGACAGTAATTGTGGTAAGACCTCATCCATGTAGTTTTGCTTAGGTATTTATTAGGTATTCATACTGCTTTGTACACAGCATTTCACAATTTCTTTTCAAATGAAGTATTTCTTGGGTGCATGGGTGATAAAAGCCTCTGGATTTTGGTGGAATTTAAACTTTAGTGAGTTACCAATCATTGGGAAAGGGATAATACATTCGAATTTTCCTCACCATAATTGGACATGTTTTGGGAGTTCTTTTCAATGCGACTCTTGCCTACGTAGCATTTCACAAAGGTTTGGGTGCCAGTAATGGGAACTGTAATTCTAGTCCCTGCCTCTCCTCCCTTCCTTCCACCCTGTTATTATTTCTATTTCTTCCTTCTTTCCACCCTCCCTCTCTGATTCTTCCATTCCTCTCAGTCTCCATGTTTCCATTCTTTTCTCTTTTCCTGTCTCTACCCCCCCCCCCCACTCACTCTCTCTCTCTCTCTCTCTCTCTCTTCTCTCTCTCTCTCTCTCTCCTCTCTCTCTCTCTCTCTCCTTCTCTCTCTCTCTCTCTCTCTCTCTCTCTCTCTAACTCTCTCTCCTCCCTCCCTCCTCCTCCCTCCCTCCATTCATCCTCTCTCTCATTCTCTCCCGCCCTCCTTCTCTCTTCCTCTCCATTCCCCATCCTCCCTCCCTTTCTGCCTTCCGCCTTCTCACCCTCTTCATCCCCCCCCTCCCATTCTTCCTTATCTCTCTTTCTGCCTCTGTACTTCCCGCCTTCTCTCCCTCTCTCCCTCTCCCAACCCCCATCCACCCTGCATGTTCCCCCTTCCCTCAGTCCTGGCCGCCTCAGCTGAACTCTTCTTGTCTTCGGTTCCTCCCTTAGGGCGCTTGCACCACGCAGACCTGAGCCCAGACCTAACAAGACGGACCCCAAAGAGAGGTTTGTGGTTCAATTCTTTTGCCGTAGCATTAATGCCCTCGGGCGTGATCTTGGAAGGCCAGAGAAGGGCTTTTCTGTAGGCCTCATGAGCCAGGAAGGTCCGTGGGAGTAGTAGTGGTGGCATTGGTGGCAGTTTTACATAAGTGCTATTAGCATTATTGTTGCCGGTAGTATTAATGAACATAATATTGTTGTTTCACAGGTGACATTAATATTTGTATGATTTTTATTTATCATTTTATTGCTATCAGTATCTTTATTATTGTTATTTCAATATCCTCATTATCATTATTTTCAATATGATTATTATGTTTTCTTCACTACTACTACCTTTCTCTCGTCTTCCGTCTTTCTTTTTTTTTTTTTACAATACGTACAGGTTTATATATATATATATATATATATATATATATATATATATATATATATATATTATATAATATCTATTATATATATAAATATACATATAGAGAGAGAGATATATATATTAATATTATTATATATATATATATATATATATATATATATAATATATATATATATATATTAATATATATATATATATATATATATATATATATATATATATATATTATATAATATATATATATATATATATATATATATATATATATATATATATATATATATATATATATATATATATATATATATATATATATATATAATATATAATATATATATATATATATATATATATATATATATATATATATATATATATATATATATATATATAA